GTCAACAAACGGCCTCCTAGGCACACAACAGGGTGCTAGGCACCCGGAGGGGGCGGGGGTTATTTTCTCAGAACCTGGTGACCTAGGTGGAAGATGGGGGGCTCATCTCAGGCCCGGGACTAAGGAAGGTCACCTCGCCACGTGAAAGAGGTGACCGGTCCATTCCCAGGTGGAAAGGGGGAACCCCTCCCCAACCGGAGTTCAATCGCTAACCACCCCACTCCCCCGTCGGCCACGGGGGCACACTCACTCGGTTGCACAGCATCTCCTAAGTGCTACTCAGATCCAAGTCCCATGGAAATAGACCCTCAGCTCCCAAGCTCACGGCTCCGCTCCACGGATGCAGTGGAGTTGTGCAGAGCAGGGCAAACCTGTGACTATAGGCTGGAGCAATCGGCAAGTTTACCAGGGCGCCTGCAAAACTCTAAGCCTATGGGGTAAAAGAAATCGCCAGTCAGGCCTCCTATTGGCTACTTGGATTGGCAGTCTGTGGGTCTGTGGGCGGGGAAAGGAAGCATGCCAGAACGATAAGACCCAGCATGCACTGGGAAGGACCCAGGGGGTGGGGGCACCTCTGGTATCCTTGTGGTGCCAACTCCTGGATCGCCCAGGTAACGTTGGTCCAGGTGTAAGGGACAATCAGTGGGTCCGCGCTGCCTGTCACTACCTGAACCAATTAAGCAGAGACAGGATTGAATCATAAAGGAGCATTTATAACAATACTGGCCGGCAGCAGGTCAACCACAGAAATCTCTCTCTACCCCCCGCCATAAGCCAGCTGCTTATATTGGGTAGAAGGACACAGATTAAGTGGGGAAGTGGGCAAAAGGTATGCCAAATGGGCAGTTTACAGGTCCGGAGATTTGCAAAAGCCTGCGGGTATGCAGAGGCTGGAGGTCTTCAAAGGGCTAGTGATATGCAAACGGCTGGGGATCTTTAAAGGGCTTAGTGATATGCAGAGGGTTATGGGTCTTCAAGGGCTGGTGATTCCGGTTTCTGCAACAAGGTTTTCAAGGTTATTTTTCCATGATAAATGGCAGCTCCCTGATGGGGAGGATGGACTGCATTTCCAGGTGAGCGCCCAGGTCCCACGTGCAATGCCCAGCCAGGTTAGAAAGCGCTTTCTTTAATCAGAACAAAACAAGCATGGTTAACAGAGCAAGATTAATATTTCTTACAATTACAACTGGTCCCCAATATTGTATTTCTGCCCCTATCACAGAAGTCTTGCGCTTTGCCATTTCTTCATTCAGCTATGTCTTCCATACAGGAAGTGTGATTGACAACTGGAAGGTGTTTCGCAGGGAAAGCGCTACAAAATCTTTATGTTTGCGAGGGCTGTTGTAGCAAAAGCACCATAAACAGAGCGGCTTAAGTGACAGAAACAAATAGTCCTCACACTTCTGAAAATCAGAAGTCCGAGATCAAGAACTGCAGCAGGTGGTCTTTTCTGAGAGCGGCAAGGGAGAACCGGTTCCAGTCCGCTCTCCTGGCTTCCAGTGACTTGGCAATACTGGCAAACCCGATCTTCCTTCCTTCACAAAGACACAGAGGCTGCAGGA